TACTACTACTACTACTACGGTTGCCGAAATGGCTTTGGACTTGCAGGGTGTTGTTAGGGTGTTTCAGGCGCGAGTCTGTGTGATCGGCGGTGGTTCAGGCTTGAAAGACTCAGTCAAATTAAAAACACTGCCAGCAATTGGGGTTTAGGATTGATGGGTCATGGCTTTAGGGGGTGTCTTAGAGTGTATGGGCTTGTCGTGCTAAAATGTACGGGTTTAAAGCTTATGGCTTTGGGGAACTGTAGGGTTCAGGAACTTGCCTCTGAGGGTGCCCTAGACAGGAGCTCCTGAGACCCCAAGCAGACAAACTTACCCGGAACCCCAACCCAAACTGTTCATCTTGGGCGGTGGTAGGGGGGTCCATACTCCATACTACCCTATACGTCTCTACATGCCCAAGAAGGTTCAAGGTTACGTGCACTTTGGGGGATCAGGACATTGCGAGGTCAAGGGCGCAGAAATGACCGTTTACGCAGGAGCAATGTAGTAGGAAGGCCTGAATCATTCGCCAAGGGTTCTAGATAGCGATTGAACCATGAACCATGTATTCAAGACTCCGAAGGAAGGAAATCACCAGCTATACAAACGGCTAGGGAGCCGAAGGTCCGAGGAAGTCAGCCACCCTAAACCCTAAACCCCTGAGCCCAAATAATTCGGGAAGCCTGCAGCCGCCCCACAGCGAATTAGGAGCCCTCCCCCTCCCAGTAAGGTCCTTGTTAAGACGGCCATAAGTAGGGTCAAGAAGGGTCCGCTTAAAAGGGGTCTCCCTTACTCCGATCCCACTGTCAAGACCACCTGCAAGCCTGATCGTACCATTACTCTGCCTATCGCTGGCATCACGATTGCTTGCTTCATGCAAAAATATAGGGGCCCTGAAACATCAAAACAGGGCTTCCGGGCTTGATCATCGAATCATCATAGCAAGGAACGCTGAGGAATGATGTTGGTAGTTCTTAAGGCCCGTGCATTAAGTTAAGACACTTTCGGGCTTGCAGCTCGGATTGCCTCATTAACTGTGCCTACTAACACTGCGCCGGTCCAACATTCAACTGGGAAGCACTGTCCGTGCCCAAAGACCGTAAGACTCGGAATCATGAGGTCTCTAAAGCCCTAAACCCTACCATAGGGGCCTTAACAATTAGAATAGGGTGTTGGGGTATATTATACACTAGGTATGATAAGGGAACCCCAAAATAGTATTGGCAAATATTTCGGCCCCTACATTGAATCCTAAACCCTTCAAGCATTGCAGTTCTTGGACTCTAATCCTAACCTTAGTCTCCATGAAGAACGCCCCATTCCAAGCTGCTAAGAAGTAGAACCTGCCAACATTATCGGGTTCAGGGTTTTGCGTTTCGGGGTTTGAAGTCTAGGGTGGGCAGACCCACCTCGTGAGCATGACTTCATCGAACAGAGCCCTCCGACTGTCGCGTGAGCCCCATGCAGATCCTAAGCCTGCGAGCCGGGTAGGTAGCTCTCTATATGGGGGTTTCAGAAAATAGGGGACCCGAATATAGTACCCTAAATTTAAATAGTAGGATCCTTATTATAAGGACCCCCAAATAGGGTACCCTAATTCTCGGAAACCCCCATATATCAGGGTCCTTTTGTTCAGGTCCCCAACATAGTACGGCACCCTTATCCAAAGGGTCCCACAAGGGACCCTCACTTAGGGAACTACCCTGGTAGGCTAACGGGCATGAACCGAGGACCCCCACCTGTCTCTCCTTCTCTCCACCCTTCTGAAAGAGCAGCTGCAGCAAACTCCTGTCCTGGGGTGGCTTTTAAAGAGGTGTGTAGGATTCAATTCTTAGCGCTTCTGCTTTGATGAAGACGGTGGCTTCGGCTAAAGGTTGGTGGCGAAAACAGCAACAAGAGTCGTGCTTCGGTGCCTGGGGCTTAACAACCCTAAGCCCTAAACCACAAGAACAAGGATCTCAGTTTTTGTCTTGGACTTAGCTTGGCGATACTATCTCATATCACCCCAAGGAGCGAACAACACGCCAAACCCTGAACCCCATACACTCTTGAAATGACTTATAAATATAGAAACCCAAAATCCCTAAACCGCCAACAGAGTTTTTGGGTTTGGAGCGCCGTTTCAAGTTCTGTGGCCCAGGGCTGACAATTTATGAATCCCTTTCCATGTCTTTGGGGCTAGAGGGATCCTTTGCTTAGGATTTCCGTTTTCGGCTTGTCAGCAGATCTGCATCACCTTGTCCAAACGATATACAAAACCAACAAACTTGCAAACACAACAAACCTGGGTCCCCTATCCTTGCCCTGCACAAAGGCCAAGGTGTTTCTCTAAACCCAAACCGTATACGCCTATAAGCCGAATCCTAAAAGCGCCCTTAACCTGAACCCTTACTACTGCGGCGTTAATACTTTTTTTTGGGGTTCTTCGGGGCCCATTATACTACAATTATAATACGGAACCGCCGAAGTAATATAGGTAATTAGATGGGCCCCTACATCAGCCCTATACCCCGAATCCCGAAAAGTGAAGTGGACCCGAATCCACAGCCTTGATTTCCCGAACCATGGCTTGGGCATCACCGCTGACGCCATTCACTGAGATAACCTGATTTAGGGTTTAGGGTTCAGGGTTCAGAATTTTAGGGTTTAGGGTTCAGGTTCAGGGTTCAGGGTTCAGGGTTCAGGGTTTAGGGTTTAGGGTTCAAGGTTCAAGGTTTAGGGTTTGGGTCTTAGGATCTAGGGCCCCAAACCCTGGACTCTAAAACCTACACCCATTCTTTTTTGTCACCCCTCTTCCTTCCGCATTATCCATGAGGCTGGAATGCCTCAAACCCGGGTTTGGGGTCTAGACTCACGCAACTCGGACGAGCAAGGCGATGTTCATCAATAGCAGTCGGCCTGAAACTAAAGTAATGTACTGTTGATGATACAAGTCCTGCATTGCCCATCATAAGGATTATACCATAATCCGCACAATTTAGGGTCCTCAAGGTACTGCAGGGTATATATCATCAACAGTAGGGTTTACGTTGGAGGGTCCAGGATTTCGGGCTTTATGGAAGCCGCGGTGCCCTGATATACGATCAAAGAAGCGGCCAAACCGTATCCTTTAAGGGATCTATAGGAATCCTTTTAAGGGCTCCCGTCAAGGGAGATACAGGGGTTCCGGTTAAGATCACAAAGGGGCTTTAAAGGTAAGATCCCTCAAGGTTGCTGTATCATTTTGGTGGCCCCATGGTTTAGGGAGCTAGCCATACGCTTGTAGGTTCTTGAGGATAGGGCTTGGGACGTAGGGTTCAGGGTTCAGAGTTGAAGGCTTCAGGAGCTTCTTGGCACTTAAAATTTCGCACGCGGTTGCAGCTACTGAAGTACTGCTACGGCTGCTACGGATGTGCCGATCATGTGGTTGCTGCTAGCTCTGCTGCTGCTTCCGACGCTCGTCCTGCAGCTCATGGTATTGGCAAAGGGAATGCTCATGACCCTTCTAGTTGGACGGGGGGTATAATGATGCGGGCGTTCCGGTTCTTGCCGCTGCTGCTGTCGCTGATCTGATGCACTGTTCATTGCTTTCACCGTGCTGTTGGAGGTTGTGGTGGCGGGCGGCGGTTAAGCTGGTGGTAAAGAAATGCTTGTGATGGTTTTGGTTGTAGCGGTGGAGGTGTGTGCGTCCGCTGGGTCGTTCATTGATGTGATCCTCTCGATTGCTACTCATTTTCTTGATCTTGTTTCTGGCCAAGTCATGGTCACGAGTCCTGAACTACCTTTTGAGTGGTTCCAGCGAATCAGTATTGTATCGTATAATAGCACGGCCTATTAATTAGATGACAGTATGGTCCAGTATACCCAGTTCTAATATTCAAGGCTTCCTTCTCATAGCAACTTGTGAAAAAGAAAAGCCCCTATATCAAGCCAGGCCGTCTTCCCATCAGACGGGCGCCCGACCCGGTCGCCGGGCTGGACAGATTTCGTAGGATTCTCTTTGTTCCACTCACTCACGGCCCCGGCCAAGATCGCCTTCAGCACCGCTTGCGGACATTATAGATATAATATAGGGGCCTTTATAATTAGAATTAGGTCTTGGGGTATATTGTAACTGTAACAGGGAACCCCCAAAAAATACTATTCGATTTTTTTAGGCCCCTAGATGAAGAGAACCCTAAACCCCTAGATTAAGAGAAGAACAAATATAGCCAGCAGCCTCCCGGCTTCCAGGGCTTGAGGGCGTGTGGTCGAAACGGGGGGCAGGGCTAAAGGGCCTTGGCGTTCGAAGTTTTTGTACCCTAAACCCTAAACCTTTTTTCAGCATGGGCACTCCTCCGGTTGCATCCCTCGTTAAACGAGAAGGCCCTGCTGTTAAGGGTGCGTTCGCTGGCACACAATCCAAGCCCATGCTAAACCCTAAAACCCAAACCCTAAACCCCAGGGTTTATAGGGGTTTGGGGGCCAGGGATTTCGGGTTTAGGGGTTTGGGTTTAGGGTTTGGGGCTTTGCGGTTTGGGGCTTAGGGCATCCCTCAAGGGATCTATAGGCTCTCTTCTTCAACAACCAGGCCCAACAAAGTTCAAACTGTTTAGGGTAGACCTAATCTATAAAGCCAATAAGTTTAACCTGCTCCCATTTACAGTCTAAGTTGTAGGAGGGCTGTTCGAGCATGACATCTACCTTTATCGAGCAGCTGGGGGCCGTGGGTGCCTTGATTCTTAGTCTTGTCATGCAAGGAAACAATTAAACCTGAGGCCCCAAGCCCCAAACCCTATGAACCCTCGGAGCTAAACAGTAAACACTAAACAGCCCTAAGAAGCAGCACTGAAAGATACCAATTGGCCGCTGTGAGGCTGCGAGCCAGGAAACTCCCTACATGAGTTGGTGAGGTGGGAAACTTGCGAGCCAAATCTAGTATCAAAGCGTGCCATATCACATTTTAGACCATTTTAGTATCTTAATTTAAGGTATGTTCTAGTTCATCGTAGTATGTTATATCCTCGCAGTCCTGCCACATGAATCACTAAACAGCGAGAACCCCTTCGACACGACACGTCTGGCTGGCCTTGATATAGAGCGTCTTGCCATCGCTCCAATCAGCGTCCACTCCCAGGCGGTTGCTGCCTGAGATGGTGACCGTCACCTGGGATGTTCCAGTCTGGTTTGCTTGGAGGCAGAGATGCGCGGAAAGTCCTAAGTGGGTTTCATGATCTTAGACCTTTATAAACCCCAGACACCCTCAACGCGTACTCATACGGTATATTATTATAGTCCCTAAACCCTAAACCCTAAGCCTAAGAGCCAGAAAGCCGGTCGAAGGAGGTGTTCGGCCGTGGGTGGCGCAGACTCCAAGATGGGCCTCTGTCTGATTGCTACTGATACTATGTACTACTACTACTACTACTACTACTACTACTACTACACTACTTAACCCGATATTCAGGAGGTACAACGTGCTGCTTACTTTTCTTCTTGCGAAGTACAAATACTGGATGACTGCAAGAAGGTACAGTGAACATGTCACTGATCGGAAAGCACAATAGCGAGCACGTCATGCCTTTAATCACCCAGCTTGCCGGCTTAGAGGTAGGAAACTCAGAACGGAGGGCAGTGGTAAGTCTCTCTAGTCATCGTTCTACGTACTGCTACTCTAACCCATGCTTGTAGTCTTGACATTGCTGAAACGGAAGCCTGAACCCTAAACCTCCAGTAGTCATAGAACTGAAATGTGGGGCTTACCATAGGCCCCGTAGTAGCTCCTTTTTGGGGTTCCTTTGTAGAATCCTATAAGGTAATCCCAAAAGGGAACTACTATGGGGCCTATATGGGTAAGGCTCCAGGCTCGCAGTCTGCAAGGATCGAACAGAGCCAGCCCGTCGGCGAGGTTCAGCAAACCGCTGCGCAAAAAAACCAGGGTTGACCCTTGGCGTTCAGGTTTATCCTCGGGTTTGGATTCCGTGGCTTTGAAACTGAATTTAAGTATGGCTTGGGTTGGTGGTCAACGGCTTAAGGTTTCGGACTGTACGATAGGAAATTATTTTGGAAGACCCGGAATAGCACGAGCAAGCTGCTCGACCAACGAGTGCCCCCAAGGCTCCTTCCTTCGCTCACCCCCTGGACCGGGATGTTAGATGACACTTCATGGCAAGCACCCCTTTAACCCCAAAAGCCTAAAGAAAGGCAGGCTCGGCTCAAGCTTCGAACCTCCTTGCCTTCAGAAAGTTGCTTCATGATCTCCACGTTCTACGACACATGTGGTTTCGGAGGATTCCGATAACCCCCGGCCAACGACTCCAAGCTCGACACCATCCATTCTTTCGACTTCGACACCGCCATGGGCGGAGGCGATCGGCCCTCCTGACTTCAAGGGTCATGCAAAGAGCTTATGGATGTGTATGGGGTCCTATGGTGTTTGCTGTTTTGGGGCCTGAATATAGATGCCATTATCAGTATCCTTAATCTTATTTTCCTAACATTGAAAATCTAGTATCAAATTGCTACTATCGGTACTGACAGTAGTAGTACCATTCAGAATAAATCACTATGAAGATTGATACTGTTACCGATCTGGCCAATGACCTTGTTAGTATTACAAATATTGTTGTTGTTACTGTTATTGTGCTTTTAGTAGTAGTAGTAGTAGTAGTAGTAGTAGTAGTAGTAGTAGTAATGGTAGTAGTAGTGGTAGAAGTAGTGGTAGTAGTAGTGGTAGTAGTAGTAGTAGTAGTAGTAGTAACAATAGTGATAATGTTAATCGGATGACTATCGTCATCACCACCATCACCATCATCGTAATCATCATCGTTATCATCATCAGCATCATCCCGTGTGTATGCTTATATTGGAAATACTATAAACATTCTTACTAAAGTCTTAATACGTAGGTTAGCTTATTAGGGTACACGAGATGCTATCCTGACTGCTCTCGGCTTCATAATGTCGGGCACTCTGCATTGCTTCTACCTGTAGTCTCCATTGTAGTTCCTTTTTTGGGTTATATATTAAGGATTTTATAGGGTATCCCCAAAAAGGAACTACAATGGAGACTATAGGTAGGGTCTGGAGTTTAGCATTTAGGGTTCAGGGTCTGGGCTTGACGATTTCGGGTTTCTGGGTGTTTGGCTTCGGGTCTGATTTTGTTGGCCTGGCGTTTGGCGCAACGGTTGCGGGCTTCGGGGTCCAGGGAATAGACCTACCCCTAGGCCCTAAAGTAGTTCCTTTTGGGGGTTCTAATATAGAATCCTGTAGGGTAATCCCAGAAAGGGAACTACTATGGGGCCTATGGGTAAGGCCGAAACACAGACAGTTGCTCATCTTCTCACAGGGCGTAGGAATGCCGAACATGGTCGGGCTTCTTCTCACGAAGTCATAAAGATGTGAGGGCTTGGTGTTGCAAGTACCACCATTTAAACCATTTATGGTGCCGAACAGCTGCTTTAGGCTCAAGAGGTTCGGTGTAGGGTTTAGGGTCTACCAGTCAATCCTAGACATACTCTGCTTTTCAGAATCCTCGTCATCAAAAAGATCACCAAGACAACACAGAATACATGTAGAACCTCATGCTTGTCAACATGGTAACTACTGGGTAGATCCTACTGCGGGATTTAGCAATTTCGCTCCAAGTGTTTCTTGGTGTCATTACTGCAGGCCTTACAGCACTGCAGCAGTCATTATTGGAGGATATTCTCCTCGAGTGTTGTTTGGGGCAGATACACGAATAGCCTGACCAAAGCGCCGGGTATATGGAAGCCTTGCAAGGCCCTCGCGGAAGAGCCGTAAAGCTCAAGACCCTACACTCTTGCGCATTCGTTTGGGAAGCTCCGAACCCAACAGCCGAGCCAGCAACAACCGTAAACGCTAGACAAGCACACCGTCACACACCAAACAAACCTACAGCACAAGAAAATTGGAACATCATTATCGTCACCTTAGAGCAAAGTAAAGGGAATTCCAGCACTAGTCATCCTAAACCCATGTTCCAACTTTCTGGGGTTCACTGCAAACCTTAAACCCTAAACCGCAGCGTAGGATTTTGTGGTGCACTGACGTATCAACTCGAGAGGCCAAAGCCTGCAACCAAAGCACTCGAAACCTTGGACCTCAAGATCTCTATAGCACGAAGAACTCCCCAATAAATGCAGTAAGCTCTACTCAGGACTCTCTACAGACTCCCTAAACACATATACTGGATATATATATGTATATATATATATATATATATGTATAATATACAATGGCACCCCACCAGCCGCATCCACCCCACCCACCGCATCTTTTTTTTCATCCACAACAGAACCTCCTACTGAATAGTCACGTCCCACAACGCCTAGACCGTAAACCCTAAACCCCTAGACCCTATAAACCCTATAAGCCCTATAAGCCCTATAAACGTAAACCCTAAACCCCTAGACCCTATAAACCCCATAAACCCTATAAACCCTATAAACCCTATAAGCCCTATAAGCCCTATACACCCTATAACCCTAAACCCTTTTGCATCCAGCCTGCAAGAGCCTCTGCTGGGAACCTAACGAGGGCTTAGAGCAAACCTTCAAGTCTGCAATGCCACTCATC